TATTATATTATATTATATTATACTGTATTATATTATATTATATTATACTATATTATATTATATTATATTATATTATACTATATTATATTATATTATATTATATTATACTATATTATATTATACTATATTATATTATATTATATTATATTATATTATACTATATTATATTATTTTATATTATATTATACTATATTATTTTATATTATATTATTTTATATTATACTATATTATTTTATATTATATTATTTTATTTTATATTATATTATATTATATTATATTATATTATTTTATATTATATTATATTATTTTATATTATATTATATTATATTATATTCTTACTGTTCTTTATACTGTTTCTTCTCTTTCCACTTTGTTGCTGTAACATTGGAATTTCCCCATTGTGGGACAAATAAAGGAATATCTTATCTTATCTTATCTTATCTTATCTTATCTTATCTTGACACAGGTCTATGTTTTATGTATAATAAAGATATTAGAACAAGGCTGGATTACCAAATGCTCCATAATAAGGGCCCCATAATAAAATTCACTAATTCATGGCTGAGTTCTCTTTGGCTGCTTTAGTTTCAGAGTCCTTGTTTTGTGCAGGCTGGCTCACTGTCAAACTGTACTGGGACACTTGGATAAAATGGGCCATCATCAATGTTATTACTGTTAACATTTGGATTGAGAAAAGGTAGCATCTTTAGGACCTCTCCCGTATCAAAAATCTAGGACTTCTTTATTTTAGCTGATATTGAAACTACTGGAAACCCAGAAGCTTATTGTTGACCTGGGTTTCCCAGAAAGTGAATCTAGCCATGGGCAAAATAAGAACATCTGAAGAATGTCAGTGACTATTAAAACATACAATAAGTACAGTTTGTCTTCTTCATGCTGTGCTGAATGGCTCTGAACATACACCATAAATAGATATACTGTATGTGATTCAGTGGTGCTTTTAAGTGGTCCTACTGCATTGCAAAACTGCTAATACTTTGTACGCCAAATAGTGATAATGCGGGGCTCTAGACTGCTTACTCTGCACTTCTGAAACGGGTGAATACTCTTTGCCAACAGAGTGGAGACTTAAAGTGGATTTGCTTGCTCCAAGTGTGTTTTAGATATCTTAAGCCAGGGAGAATTTGTTTCTCATCTCGTGGAGCAAGTCCTAACTGAACATGAGCTGAAAAACGAGTCCCTTTTATATTAATTCGTGTCCCCTTTTATCCCTTTCTTCTGAATCTCTCAGCGATGCTATCCAGTCCCTCTGTTGTTCCAGAATGTCTCTTGTAAGGCATCTCACATAAAGTGAGGTCATCCTTTTATAAGAGGCTCTCTCCCATTGATGAATCAATTCCTGTTTCCTCCCTCCTCGAAAACTTGGCTGCAGTTCATCCCAATCAGTCAATAATGTATAGACAATAAATAATACCACACATGAGGGGGGATGAGAAATGCTCAGACATTTGAAAATCCAAGTCAGTATTTGGAAGGTTTGGCTGTATGGTGTGCTTTCTAAATTGATTCAATATGCTGTATATGAATGAAAAGACTGAAGTGATGTTCCCATCAATGGCAAGAGAAGCAAATGACAAATGTTAATATCCTGTGTAATCAATGTGTTGCAGCAGCTATTTTTGGAGCAGAACAGCTGCAGCTATAAAGTTTTTTTTTCTCTCCCTCTTTCTGAGGGCAGGCTGAGTGAAAAAGTGAAACATACAAATGTATTTGCATGTTTTTGCATTGTTTTTAATACCCACATGTTTGTTCCTAAGGTGCCCGTGTGACTCAGCTCACCACCACACAAACCCTTACTGGCTTCTTCATCATGAAAGCCTTTTTAAAAAACCAGGAAAACACAGTAAGGCTAAACGCCAAACGCCACCAACGCACATTTATCTTCAGGATTAAGACAGTTTAAGGCCACTCTGTGAGTCAGCAGTGTAAGGCACTGAGTGTGCCACAGTGTTTGCAACATCTTGGGTTCAAGTCTCACTCATCTATCACATACAATAGCCAGTGCCACATGTCTTTTTGTGTTTTTTCCACTGTATACCAAGCAAATGCAGAAATGTCACAAACGCATCTTAAAAAGACAGCTTTACTCTGCAAATCCTGCGGGTAATCCGCTATCTGTCTGTGTTTGTATGTGAGGCCTGAGCCCAGCGGTCCTACCCATGTGACTGTCAGGGTAATCTCTAGGTTACACTGATTTACATAACACCACTGCAGCAGCAACATCTGGGAGCTCCCACCTCACAGCTGGATTGGATGCATTATGTTAGTCTTTAATATGAGAGGTTGGTATAGGGACATGCATGTTGTTGGTGATAAGATGAAAACCTCACAACTCTAAATATCAACTTTTTCAGGGACTGAGAAAATCTTTCCCTGATAACTGTCAGATGTAATCTCCAAGAGTTACAAGGTTACAAGGCGAGTGAAAGTGGGGATGTTTTGTTTGAGCCAAGCCTATACATGTTGTACCATCAGAAAAATCCATCAACTTAATCCCTCTGTTTGGAGTTTAATATGAAATACTCAGATTCAGTATCCCTTGTGCCATACAGTTGTTTGCACTCTACAGAACCTCTCCTTATTATTTATGTCTTGAATTCACATAACACAAATTATATTAGCTGAAATAATTTCATATACTTTAGGCTTCATGAAACATAAGTCAGATCATGTACTGTGGTCACGCACAGTTGCTGCCAGTTGAAATGTTGTATGCTTAATGCACAGTTTTATTCCTTAGACAGAAAACTGCTGGCCAGTGATCCACAATGCCCTTGATGTTTGTCATGGAAATGAATGGCAAGGTACCAGATAATGTCTGGCTGCTTTCCCAGCTCTGTATTGAATTTAACTTCTGTTATACTTTTATCTTACAAGTGCTTGTCATATTAAATGCTCTGGGATAACAGGTTGAAATTATTCACCATACTGCACAGATAAGGGTTGGAATCCTGCATGTGTGGCCTAGCTACTCATAATTAATTTTAACTGTGTACCTTGGATAAAAATTGGTATAATCAATGTAACTATATTTTGAGGAAGCTTACTCGTGGTTTTAGAACATGAAACAGTATTTCCACACACAAAGGAAGAAGTATTTAGAAATAAGTATCAACGCCACAGTGTACAAATACCTTTAAAGTATTATTAAAAGTAAGTCCTGCATTAAAATTTGTACTTTTTATTTTTATTTTTTACTGCTAACGTAAAAGTAGGTAAGTAAAGCACATGCTCTGCAGTGGCCCAGCTTTGATTCCAGCCTGCAGCCCTTTGATGCATGTCGTTCCCACTCTCTCTGCCCCCTTTCCTGTTAATCATTAGCTGTTACTATCAAATAAAAGGCCCCAAAAATTATTGAAGTACAAAAAATCAAAGTAAGAGTATAATTATCAGTCAGTGATATATCTCTTTATTATATAATTGGATTAAGATTACAAAATTGATTAACATGTAAGCAGCACTTTAATATGAAATAATTACCATCTGATATTGAAGTGAAGTATGTAACATGAAAGTAGCATGAAATTAAAATTCTCATCTGAAGTACAAGTTTCTCAGATTTGCATTTAAGTGCAGCACTTGACTAAATCTATTCACTTTCCACCACTGCTTGTAAACAAGGTAACCAGACAGGTAGAAGCATTTATTATTAATTGAATTCATATATAGCAATCAAATAAGTTCAATTTCATTTAACTGCAATGTAGCCTTTAAAACCAGGAACCCAACAAAGATTATTAACTCATATTATGTGTCTGTTTTAATTATGTCTAATGTGTTATTTTTATGCTATCCATAAAGTTTGTGTGGCTGCAACTTCCGGTCCGTGCAGTGCCTTTTGCTTCCACCTGGAATGCAATGTGCTATGTAAATAAAGTTTTGCTTTCTTGCTTGCTAATTCCAGACAATATCTAGACTCATATGTACGTCATATTGATGTATTGGACTGCAGTTAACTGCACTTACATTTTATTGATAAAATAGTTGTTTAGCATTACTTAGAGGCAAAATACTTGCATCTTTGCCATTTAGCATCCAAACTTCCAAACCTGCATACTGTATACGTGTCAATGCAAGATGTTATTATTGATTAATTATAAAGTGTAGGTCAACAATCTTGCTCAGTTGTACATGAAGAGGAAACTACAGTCTTCCGATGGGATTTTAAAATACAGCTTTCAATTTTAATTCTAAAAAAATCCATTTGCCTTTTCTCTGAAAATAATAAAACTCACAAACTTATTGCTCACATGGTTTTATAAAAGTGTTGTTTCTTGCCACACCCATCAGTTCGCTTCCTATGTAGTAGATTTTGGCATGCAGTAGAAGAAAATGGAAGTGATCTTTCCTCCTCCTCTCCTCATGGTCAGTGTACACGTCTCAGTATTGGACTGAGTTAATCCATCAGGCCTGTTTAACCAAGCTGTGGCTGATCCTCTTGGTAAATACACCAGCGCTAAGTGGCTTTCAATCATTACCACCAAGTATCTCTAATAGTACTAATAGGCTTAGGACAAGTTCTCCCTCTCTCTGCCAAGACCCCCTATTTCTATGTAACGGTTGCTTGCTCAGGCTTCGGCTACCACTTTATATGTATGTATATTAGTGTCTGTCTTGTTGCATTAGCATGAATATCTGTCTCTCTGTGAGGACTAGGACACTGG